AAATATTCATAGAGAAATGTCCAAAGTCTTACAATACTCAGGCTCCTCCTCTGTTGCCCCACCATTAATTATCATGCCTAGAAGCTTTTTAGACCAAGGGCAGTCATCAGGCTGACGGAACCTGACAGGCCAGCAAAGCCCAATTACATGGCACTCTGTGGCACTTTGATGTCCTGGAGACAGAGCAAGAGAGGGGCAAATTGGGTAGCACATTATGTTAATGATTTGATTTAATCCAGCCACTAAACTTTATGTAGCCTGTTTAAAAAGATGCTAACACTAATTACACCACTTTGGAAAGGAAAAGAGGGGACAAGCATTTCAGATAGACAAAGTGAAGCTCATAAATGTTGTAAATGAAATGAAACAAAATGAAGTAACCTATGATTAATTATACATCACAGACATGAAGGAAAGAGAAAGGACTAAGTAATATGTTTCAGTCCTGGAAAATTGGTTCGATTCCTTTTAAGGATCAACATTACAAAGAAATAACTAGGAGCTGTCAGATTCTGTAACCTTCAAAATAAAAACACAACCAAACGATCTTAAATTGCTTATACAGTGTATTAGATAAATCAACTTCATGGTGTAACTGGCACAAATTACACTTATCTAGGACAATATTTCTATCCCTAATTGACATTATGAGGTAGAGCCAATTCAAGAAAATCTATAAAGTGGTGATAGCCACAGAGTACAGATATCTAATTACTTTCTAACTCTGTGCCTATAATCTATTCTATACATTACTGAAAGAGTGCTATTTTAAAATGTAATTCTAAAGTGTAAATGTCATAAAGATAGTTCTTTTACTCTGGTTCACTGGAATATTCCCTGGTCCAAAATAAAGCTAGGCCCATAGTAAGCGCTCACAAAGTATCCATCAATTTGCATCATACCTCCCTTTTAAAAATCCTCATTGGATGCTCATTGAACTTTAGGATAGATGCCAAAGTCCTGAGATAGTTCACAAAGGTCTCAAGATGTGGACCATGCTTAACTTTCCAATCTGTTCTTGGGCTCTATGTGCGAGCACCGTAGGCAGAGTTTATTTGGAAACTACTCCACATTCTTGAAGTATCTTAAACTTTCACGCTTTTTTGGTTACTTTGGCCTATAGTAGGAGCCCTGGTGATGTACTGGGTTTATGTGTTGGGCTGCTAACAACGAGGTCAGCAGTTTGAAACCACTACCAGCTGAGGGAGAAAGACTGGGCTTTCTACTCCATACAGATTTATTATCTTAGAAACCCACAGGGACAGTTCCAGTCTATTGATAGGGTTGCTATGAGTCAGAATTGATTCTGTGCCAGTGAGTTTTGTACTATAGTTATTCCTGCACCGTGCTGCTCCTTTTACTCCTAAGCCAGTCTTCACCACTGGTTCAAGCTTAACTGACTCTAAGGGCCTCCTCATGTTGAGCTAGGCATCCTCCTGAAGTTCCCATAGCACCCTTTGCGTTCTTGTTCTCCTGGTGCTGAACATCAGGCCTTTCCCCTCCATACTCTGAATTCTTTCAGGGAAGGGATTGTAACTTTTATGTCTGACACACAGTAAATGCTAAACAAAAATTTACTATGGATCCTGTCCTGATTAATAAGATGCTATCAATGCCATTACTGGGGCAACTCTCAAAAAAAATTTTTGTTTTACCTGTCAAAATTTTAGTGAGGTCTATAGCTGAGATAATAGTATTGTATTACTGTTCTTAGGTACTTATGGTTATTATTTATGCAACCTTTAAATGGTTCATAAAATTGTATATGTACATATATGCATCAATACAGAAAATAAAAATAACAAAACCAATGTAGCAAGATGTTGGTAATTGGTGAATCTGGCTAAAGGGTATATAGGATTTCTTTACACAATTTTTTCCACTTTTAAAGAAACAGGTTCCATAATCCACATTAAATGATCTGCTACTGTAACAGATGAGAAAAATTGGTACAATCTATAGTAAATGATACATTTCACCATCATTATGATCTCGACTTTTGTTCCTGTGCTTCAGGTAACACCATTTCACTTGATGCTGTATACAATTTAATAAAATAAATTTCATCTACTAACATAAGATACTTGTCAGTACTGTCTACTACTAAAAGTAGAATTTCTAGAATCACATGGGAGCTTATTAATGGCTCCTGATGCACAAAGCACTGCTTAGAGCAGTTTCTTAGTTTAAATGATGTGCACACATTTATGAAAGCAACTAAAACCATTACAGGATATCACATTTTGGAATAGTTATGAAGGATGCATTAAATTGTAGCAAAATAACTGAAATTACTTTCTTTGAAATAACAAGGAAAACAATCCCAGTTTATCTCAGTGAATAAATATATATATGTATATAAATAATTAATATAGATCAGCTGAAAAAGTGAGGGCTTTTTACTTACATTTACTTGATAAAATATTTTTGACCCTTACAATAAGAAATGTTCTGGTAAGCAATACACTTTCCATATATATTTAAAGCATAATTCTCTTTTCACAATTTCAAATTCAAAGCTTATTACTTTTAAAATTATTTTTCAGCAATCTACAATAAAACAAGCAAAGTATATATGTATAAGATTATCTTCTATGAAAGTTTAATTATTTTTGTTGTTGCAGAAATTAAATAACTAACAGTTCATCGATGGATATAGGAAGGAAAGTAAAAAGGTACTGCAACAAAGTCATGGAGCCCCATACTAAACCAAGTATCAAAATGTGAACTTAGTATTTCTTGACATATCCTCCATCTAGGTCTATATATCTAGATGGCATTTCCATCTCTTCCCTGAAAAATTCAGTATGCTTGACTAGCACCATCTCAAAACAGCAGTTTTAACCAAGTTATGTACCTTTTGAATGTTCTACAAGTATCAGGAACAAAAACAAGTCTGAAGGGGCAAGATTAGGGCTGTCGGATTGATCGACTAAGGTTTCATAGCAAAATTCCTATAGGACAGCCCTTGCTACCCTTGAAGAGTACACTGTTGTTATGAAACTTTCCCGTTTTTCCCCCACTTATCCATGTTGCTTTATATTTCCTTAAAAGTTCTTTATAAATAGTTGTCGTGTCACGAGGTGCCGAAGGGATCAGGCACCACAGAACAACAACAAAAAAATCACATCATTTGTGTGCTCACCTTCCTGATACTATGGCTGAAGACAAATGGGTGCATAAGCTGGTGGTGAAGAAAGCTGATGCTGCCCGGCTATCAAAAGATATAGCATCTGGGGTCTTAAAGGCTTGAAGGTAAACAAGCGGCCATCTAGCTCAGAAACAACAAACTCCACATAGAAGAAGCACACTAGCCTGTATGATCACGAGGTCTCAAAGGGATCAGGGATCAGGCATCATCAGAACAAAAAATCCTATCATTGTGAATGAGGAGGAGTGCAGAGTGGAGACACAAAGCCCATCTGTAGTTAATTGGACATCCCCTTACCGAAGGGTTGAAAGGAGGAAACGGGCCAGTCAGGGTGCAGTGTAGCAATGATGAAACATTCAACTTTTCTCTAGTTCCTAAAGGCTTCCCCACCCCCCCTCAGTATCATGATCCCAATTCTACCTTACAAATTTGGCTAGACCAGGGGATCTACACTGGTACAGACAGGAACTGGAAACATAGGGAATCCAGGGCGGATGATCCCTTCAGGACCAGTGGTGCGAGTGGCGATACATGGAGGGTGGAGGGAGGGTGGGGTGGAAAGGGGGAACTGATTACTAGGATCTCCATATAACCTCCTCCCTGGGGGACGGACAACAGAAGAGTGGGTGAATGGAGATGTTGGATAGTGTAAGACATGACAAAATAATAATTTATAAATTATCAAGGGTTCATGAAGGAGAGGGAAGTGGGGAGGGAGGGGGAAATGATGAGCTGATGCCAGGGGCTTACATGGAGAGCAAATGTTTTGAGAATGATAAGGGCAATGAATGTACAAATGTGCTTTACACAACTGATGGATTGTGATGAGGTGTATGTGCCCCTAATAAAATGATTTTTAAAAGTTCCCGTGATTGTTCTTGTGTAATTTTCTGAACTAACCTTTGCCTTGAATCTAACTGGGTTAGCAAATCCCCTTGGAAGTCAATGCTTTGATTGTATCTCTCTTTTGGGAGGCACTCTAATGATACAAAAAAACCCCAAAACTCACTCTCATTGAATCAATGACAATAAGAGAGGAGGGTAGAACTGTTTCTTAGAGTGTAATTCTTTACAGGAGTAGAAAGCCTCATCGTTATCCTCTAATAATACTAAGACAAGTGTATTTATTACTGGGAAAACTTGTCTACATTCTTTTACTGATTGCAGAGAAACGTTTAAATGTTTTGTTTGGGGAAAAAAAGATCTTTGAACGTATAAACTGGAAGCCTACTGGCAATACTCTTTGATCCTTGTATTTAGATAACTGATTACAGGCAAGTGATTATAGCTTTTAATGCACTTTCATACACTGAATTCTTTAAAGTTTTGATGTGATTCAAAACATCTTTGTTATTGGTCTTGAAAAGTAGTTAAGAGGACTCAATTGGTTTTAGCAAATAACTAAAAGTATCGTGTTAGATACTTTTGGTAAAAATAATGCTTACAAGAATGGTCCATTCCAGAATGAAAGTGTAAATAAAATTTAATTTTTCTGGACAATTATTAGAGCCCTGGAAGTGTAGTGGTTACACATTGGACTGCTAACACCAAGGTCAACAGTTCAATACCACAAGCTGCTTCATTGCAGAAAGAAGGCACTTTCTATTCCTACAAAGAGTTAAGTCTCAGAAACACACAGGGGCAGTTCTACCCTGTCCTATTGGGTTCACTATGAGTCAGCACCGACTTGGTGGCAGTTTAAGTTTGGCTTTGGTTGGAAAATTATTTGGTTAAGATTTCAATAATACACTACCATTTCTCTATAAGCATCTTCATGTTAAGATGTTCATATATGAAGACTGATACACCTTTACTTCAGAACATTTCTCGTTTGCATCAAATTACTGACCTGTTTGATACTCTTGGATATAGAACCTGGAATAATACAATCATCACTGTCAGAAGCAGATCTGTCCTCTTCATCTGTTTAATAAAGACAAAAGAAATATTTGCAAAAGTTAAACCAACTATACTTGTGCCTTTATTAAATACAGAGGAACAAGCATTTATCACAAAAAACAATCATTTCTAGACTTATTTTTAAACAGTAAAGATGTTTACATTAATATTTTAGGAAAGAGAAAAGTTAGGGTAAATTCTGAGTTTAATTTTGCCATAAACAAAGGAAATAAAATAACTTGTTATAGTATGACATTAATGAAGCAGAAACAATTGCACACACATAGAATATAAAATATAGCATGTTGATATACATATAGACTCATGAAACCATTACAATGAACATGGTTGACTGACACATTGGCCCCGCAGTGTCTCCATTCCCCATGGTGATCTCCTGTCCATCTGTGCGCTCATTCTTTCTTTCCAGGCAAAACTTTAGCCCTTTTTGTCATCCATATTAATTGGCTTTTTCTAGATCTTTATATAAGCAGGATCAGATACTCTCTTTTTTTTGGTCTTGCTTCTTAGTTTTAATTTTTAAAAAGTCAAGATCTCTAAAATAAACTAGACGGCCATACTAAAACTAAAATATAAAACCATTTGAAATATAAATTGGGAATATGGCTAACAACTCTATTTGCATTCTTCTGCATGCAGAGTTCCAAGTTGAAATGAGAAGCAATGCAGTAATTCCACGTGATCTCAGCTAACCAGCCTGAACTATATCCCACTGTTTCTGTTAGGAATGTAGTGCCTTAGGAGATGTTCCATGAGGAAAAAGGTAGCAAAGACAACACAAAGCAAAGAGTTCAGTAAATAACATTCATTTTTAAAAAAGGTCACCTTCTGGTTCCAATTCCTCAGTTATTTCAGTTTCATCTTCAGAAGAAGCCAAACTTTGTTCTGCAAGCTGACCCTCAGATAATAAAGATACATCTTCTTTTTCTTGCTGCATTTTCTCAGTATTCTCAATTACTTTATCTACAATGCTTTCATGTGAAACCTGAAGGATGGCACAATGATATATTTATTATTGCTTAGAACATGTAATTACTCTTGCTGAAACATTTGAATAAAAAATATGTAAAACAGACTTAAACATATATAAGACTCATTAGCAAACAATCACTTAAACTGTGAAAATATATATGAAAATCTGATTATTAGTTAAGAATGAAAAATTCATTATTTTCAAATGAATTTCATGTAAGATTTTAGTTCACATTACCTATGTACTACCTGTCAGTATTGGTATAACTGTGGCTGTTTTACTTGCCTTTTTTAGTTTTCTATTACAAGAAAGTCTTGTACAAAAATAAGACAAATGGTGCGATTTCTGAACCATGCTAAGACTTACTAACCAAGGTCTTTAAGAACTAAATTAAACCTTTTAAGATAATTTTAGTATAAACACGTACTTACCGCTGGTATATGTGAAACAGCTGGCATCTTAGTTTCTGGAGTATGTTCCACCGCTGGTAAAATTTCCTCCTTGTCTTCATGAAGAGAAGTCTCCTGACAGTAATGTGAAAGAATATAATTGATTGTATTAGTTTGGGTGCTTTAGAGAAACAAATCCACAGAAACTCATGTATAAGAGAGAGTTTTAAATAAAGGTTAAGTGCATGTCAAGAAAACATTCCAACCCAGTGCTGTCCAAGCCCACAAGTCCAACATTAACCCATATGTCCGACACCAATCCACAAAGCCCTCCTCCATCTTACAAAACACACACAATGTTGCCAACTGCAAGAGGAAAGCCGAGTCAGTGAATGTGTAAGTATCTCAGCGCTGGCAGGTTCTCTGCACGGGAGCTCCAGCACCCAGGGCTGCCATGGGGGTAGGTCCATGTGGCTTCTCCTCAGGGATGTCTTGCAGGAAGTGAGCCTTGCCAGCAAGGAACTGGATAAGGCAGCTAGCTGCACTCTGGCCCGACCATCAGAAAGCAAGAGACCGGAGAACTAGAAAGGTGAGGCTCACCAAGCCATTTATCTCTCCACCCTTCAATTAACCCCACATGTGTTTATCAGCCAGGTTGTCACAATAAACTAACTACCTCAATCCACTCCTTGCCAAACTGGCACCTGTACATAATTCTTTAGCTTCACGATTGAAATTAAGTAACACCTACCCCTTAATTCTATAATACCGTGAATATGTTCCCCCACCTATGAAAGTTTGTAAGCCAACCACTTCATGCCTTTATACGCCCCAATTTTGAGTATCCTATTTATATATTGCCCACTTACATCAGCCCAGTTCTCTGAGAAAACAATCATATTTTTCGACATGAAGAGTCTTCATTTCAGTTGGAACCTTGTGAAATCTATATCCATAAGCAAAGTCAAATCCGGACAGGCCATCCATAAAGTCAGCAACAATATGCACCAGTTTACAGGCTCAAAAATCTCCATCTGGTCGGGTTCTGATCAACTCAACGTAGGCTGCCTCACTCAGCCTCCACAGGGTGCCCATTGGTCGCCTTGCCTTTAGACTATAGGCTGTCACAAATAATCAACAAGCCTACCCACCTTGTGGTAGGTCATGAACTTTAGACCAGTCAACTCGCTCTCGTCTTTTCTTTTTCCTGTAAACAAAGTCCACAGGTGTCAGTGGCCAAACTCAACCTGTCTCTTTATTGCTGAATTTCTCCCACTTCCACTCAACAAGTAGATCCAGGTGGTCACCTAGCAAGCATTTCAGCCTGCTCACAGGCTCCCTTTAACTTTCAGTCCTAGAGAGGAGTTTTCTTCATGGTTCCAGATTTTTTCCAGCTTCTGACAAAGACTGCTGGTTCCTGAGTACTCCAAAGCACTAGGTGGGGCATATATTTTCAAAGCTTTCTTTGCAGGTGTGTCCTAAACCCACCTAAAGATAAAATTTTAATGGCTGAAAGCAAGTGGACTTAAAAAATTTCTATTTTCATAGTTCCCATATTTTCCCTAGAAAAAACCTGAGTAAAGTGTGGCTTTATCTGATCTCTGCTAGACAAAGAAAAACTCCCATGAGGGAGAGGTCAAGCAAACATCTACTCTCCATCTTATGATTTGTTTCTCCAGTACCCCACTCCCAAGGTACCAAATTTTATTAGTTTGGGTACTTTAGGGAAACAAATCCACAGACACACATAGATGAAAGAGTTTTAAATAAAGGTTAAGTGCATGTCAAGAAAACATTCCAACCCAGTGCTGTCCAAGCCCACAAGTCCAACATTAACCCATATGTCCGACACCAATCCACAAAGCCCTCCTCCATCTCACAAAACACACACAATGTTGCCGACTGCAGGAAGAAAGCTGAGTCAGTGAATGTGTAAGCATCTCTGAGCTGGCAGGTTCTCCACACGGGAGCTCCAGCACCCGGGGCTGCCATGGGGGTAGGTCCATGTGGCTTCTCCTCAGGGATGTCTTGCAGGAAGTGAGCCTTGCCAGCAGGGAACTGGCTAAGGCAGCTTCACCCCAGTCCGACCATCAGAAAGCAAGAGACTGGAGAACTAGAAAGGCAAGGCTCACCAAGCCATTTGTCTCTCCACCCTTCAATTAACCCCACATGTGTTTATTGACCAGGATGGCACAATAAATTAACTCCATCATTGATATTTTGTATTTATTATTAAATCCTACATCAGTTTAAGACTTTTAAATATAATCACTCACTAGAACTCACACTGCCACTGAGTCAATTCCAACTCACAGCGACCTTAGGGAATAGAACAGGACTGCCCCTATGGATTTCTGACACTGTAACTCTTTGATGGAGCACAATATCTCATCTTTCCTCCTGAGGAATGGCTGCTGGGTTTAAATTACCAACACTGAAGGTAGGTCATCCACAAGGGCTCCTATTCCCTATGATAGATATATGAAACTTAAGACCCGCAAGTGTAATTCATGGAATAATTGTTATTATAAAAAAGAAGCAAAAAAGGCAATATAAATATTTAACAATAGTGTGCTAGTTAAATAAAGTACATTATAAAAATAGCGATGTAGATGTATATTTACTGATATTATGGTAGATAATGCAATGTTGAGTGAAAAAGGCTGGTAATAGAACAATATGTTTAGTTGCATTCTGCTTTGTTAAGCATGTGTGTGTACTTGCATAGGAAAAGAGGATATTCAAGAAATCTTATTTCTAATTTACAAATTTAGGAACATGGATATTTATTTTCCTTTGTTTTTGCATACTTGTATTTCTATAATGATTATATATTATGTAGGCAATTAAAAACTTGCATGTGTTAAAATAGGTCTGTGTTATACAGCCAGCTTTATCTTTATATTGTATTAAATATCAACTTATGGTCAACTACTTTTCCAAGATTCATTAACTGCTTAATTTTAAAAAATAGTTTATAATATTATTATTTCAAAAGTTAAAATGTCCAATATAACAATATAAAAATATAAAAAGAAAACATTTTAAAAATGCATATTCCTATTGCCAAATATTATTATTTTAATAATTTATTAGATTTATATGTCTTTATAATGAATTGTTATTGGAAATAAACATTTTTTATTATAGAGTTGTACCTGTTATAAAATCAGTATCTCCTGTTGCCTTTTAAAAAAACTGAACATTATTATTGTACATAATTTTGTCCCAGGAGGAAAATTTGGGAAGATATAATTTATTTTATAATAGTATTATAAATATCAATACGATTAATATTAAATGACAATATTATATTACACTGAGTGGATATACAATGATTTCATGAGTCTTTTTACTATTGTTGGATGACTTTTTACTACAGTTGTCAGTTATTATGACTAGCATATACATCTGTATGTAAATATCTTTTTATATGAGTAACCTCTTACTTAGTAATAAGGCTACCTGTGTTTAGAATGTCAGTGCCTCTACTTTGACCTTGAGTAACTTTATTTGGCCTCTTTAAACATCAGCTTCCCTCATCATAGTGGGAGCACTAGAGGCATACTGAGTTATTAGATGGGATGCTAACTGCAAGGTTGGCAGTTTGAAAACGACAGGCGCTCCGGGGAAGAGATGTGAGAAGAAATACTCTCATATTTGTAGTCTGGGAAACCCACAGGGGCAGTTATATTCTGTATTATAGGGTCGCTAGGAGTTGAAATCAACTCAGCTGCAGTTAAGTTCCCCCATCTTTAAATGAGAATAGTTGCTATATAGATCAAATAAATTCAGTGTGTATAAAGTGGTTAGTTTAGTGCCTAGAACATAATAATCACTCAAGGAATATTAGAATATATAATTTATTATAGACTGTATTATAATTCAAATTTATAATTTATTTAGAATCTATCTATTAAATATTGTCTATATGCTAGAAATTATTCTAAGTATTGGGGAGAAAGAAATATACTCTTGGGTAGTTGCTACACAGGTATATATGTATGTATGTTTATATATATATATACACACATAAAACATAAATACATAAAAATTTACTGAGCTGCACATGTCTTTTATTATATATAAAAAGTTATATCTCAATTACAAAGAAAACATATTTTTTAAAAGTATACATAAGAGATGATGGGGTCTTAGTAGCAATAGAGGTGATGTGGAGTGTTTGAATATAGAATATCTTTTGAAAATACAGCTGAAAGGGTTTGTGGATTAAATGGATATGAAATGAGAAAAAGAAAAGAGGCAAAAGGATACTTCCAAAATTTCAGGCTTATGGAAATGAGTGAAAGATTATGTCATTTATTGAAATTGGGAAACATTAAAAGGAGCAAAATTGTAGAAGAGGTTTGTGTAATCAGAAGTATGGTTTTTGACATGTTATTAAATAATAATAATATTATTATTTAAGTTTAAAGAGTTACATTTAGGAGGAAAAATCTGTCCAAGTGTGTAATACTGGTTAAAAATAAACCAATTTTTATTTTTTTCATTTTAATACATTTTTTAAAAAAATGAAGCTTTCTATGATTTGGTAGCTATGCTTTTTCCTTACCTCATATCCATATATATGGATACGTAATTGGTACATAATCCACATATCATACATTTGACATGTTAAATTGAGTGTCTCTTGTTTGTTTGGAAAAATCTCAATGTGATGGATTGACTTAATGGCCATATAAAAGGGTTCAAACATAGCAACAATTACTGAGAATGATGCAAGACCAGGCAATGAAAATCAGGAATAAATCTGCAAATTCAAAATCAAACTCACTGCCACTGAGCTGATTCAAAATCAGCAACTCTACAGGATAGAGTAGAACTGTCTCTGTAAGGTTCTGATACTGTCAATCTTTACAGGAGTTGAAAGCCTCATCTTTCTCCCACAGAGTGGTGGGTTTGAACTGCTGACTTGGAGTCAGCAGCCCAACTTATAACCTACTATGCCCCCAGGGTGAAAAAAAAAACACCTCAAAATAAGCTGAGAGAAAGATAAAGATGAGAGGATAAAAATTGAGGATTTAAAGGCTTGAAGATAAACAGGTGGCCATCTAACTGAGAAACAACAAAGCCCACATGGAAGAAGCACACCAGCTTGTGAGATCACAAGGCGTCGGAAGGGATCAGGTAACAGGCATCAAAGACCAAAAAAAGTCAGCATTGTGAATGAGGGGGAGTGCATTCGGACATTCCCTTGCAGAAGGGCTGTGGAGAGGAGACGAGCCAATCAGGGTGCAGTGTAGCAATGATGAAAAATACAATTTTCCTCTAGTTCTTTAATGCTCCCCTGCCCCCCACTATCATGATCCCAATTCTATCTTACAAATCTGACCGGACTGGAGGATGTACACAGATACAGATAAGAACTGGAAACACAGGGAATTCAGGACAGATGAACCCCTCAAGACCAGTGGTTAGAGTGGCAATACCAGGAGGGTGGAGGGAAGTTGAGGGAGAAAGGGGGAACAGATTATAAGGATCTACATATAATTTCCTCCCTGGGGAATGGACAGTGGAGAAGTGGGTGAAGGGCGAAGTCAGATGGTGTAAGATATGACAAAATAATAATTTATAAATTATCAAGGGTTCATTGGGGAGGGGGACTGGAGAGGGAGGTGGAAAAAATGAGGAGGTGATACCACGGGCTTAAATAGAAAGCAAATGTTTTGAGAATGATGAGAGAAACAAATGTACTAATGTGCTTGACACAATGGATGGATGTATGGATTGTGATAAGAGTTATATGAGCCCCCAATAAAATGATTTTTTTTAATGTTATTTTATGTAACCATTGTTCTATAAATCATGGGATAGTTATCGGATTCTAATGTCATATGAATCAATAAATATATTTAATAAAACAAACAAAACAAAAATTGAGGATTTAATGCCAGCAGAACATCTAGACAGTGGCTGGGGACAGACATGGGACCAAGGGAGGATTTATATCAAAGTAGCAAATCACAAAGCTAACATTTTAAAGAGAAACATACATTATATACTTGTTTATATTTAAATCAGATTGGCATATACTATGTAATTTTTATGTTACAGAAAAAACACCAAAAATTTAAGGTTTACTACTTACAGGACTCTGGCAGGGCAAGATATCCACAAAAGACACCTTCTTATCTCCAGGTGTTAAACGTTGTCTCGGTTTAGGTGTTGGAGCCTACAATAAACCAATATGTCAAACTGAGTGTGATGAATGTGGTATTTTAAATAATGCTGCCATCCGTTTTTCTGCGGGCTAGATAATGGGGGAGCTATTTTCTAAATTTCATAGGAGACGAAGTCACTATTACTTACTACAACTAATGTATTGGCAGAGGACGTTGGAGGAAGTCTTTGAACAACTTCTGGCTCTTCACTGCAAATGATATTTCCTAAGTCTTCAGTTGTTATTGACAGACTTGGTGGAAGGTAAGCAAATTTCCATTTTAACACAACATTGATGGTGCCTGCAGGGTGTTTTTTATGATCTGTTAACTCAAATATTCCTGCCAAATTATAAAAATAATCTTAATTAATGCCAGAGTGAAGTTTTATTGCCCTAAGAATTAAAGAGGAACAAAGAGAACTGCCCTTCACTTTAAAAATAATTTTGGCTTGTAGTCATAACCCAAGTGACTCCAATGACTTAGAAAATAAAATAGAGGCAAAAGAACCTCTCAAGTTGACTGCATTGAGAAGTAAGGCCTCAAAGGTAAAAGATGAGAAAATTAATTTATAAATGCTTTAATTCACTAAAATTAAATTCAAAGATCACTCAGAATTCTTAGCTTCTCTTTAAGACTTTATCTAGGTTACAGTTCAAGTACCAGCTTTTATTTTGACTTGAATGGAGCTTGTCTTTAAAGAAAAATAAATTAAAACATCAAAATTTCAAATAATCTATATAGCTGGAAGAGTCTTTATATTTCTGCATAATTCTATTACGGTAAATATATTTTACTGGGATTGGCAAATTATTCCAAATTAATAGTATATGGCAAAGAATTTCATAAAAAATGAAAATAAACAAAATGTCCAAATTTTAACAACAGAATAATTATGAACATGCAGAGAACCAAGAAACTGTGATGCACACATGCACAAAACTAATACATAGAAACTCTGAGTTTAAGGGAATCCTGTATAGATGACTCCTTCAGGACCAGTGGTGAGAGGGGCGATGCCTAGAGGGTGAAGGGAATGTGGGGTAGAAAGGGAGAACCAATTACAAGAATCTAAGTATTGCCTCCTCCCTGGGGGATGGACAGCAGAGAAGAGGGCGGAGGAAACATCGGACAGGGTAACTTATGAAAAAACTATAATAATTAATGAACTATGAAGGGTTCATGAGGGAG